TATATACGTATATACATTATTACTATTTACAAGTAAGTTTTTATTTTTCACAAAACATAGAACAAGAAATAAAGAAGTATAGAAAACAATTACCTCTTCTAGTTACAAACTTTGTACTCACTTGCTGCTTGCTGTAGGTTGCTAAGCTTTATCAAATTTCACATGTGGAGAATGTCAAACGAAATATTTTTTTTTAGATTTTGTATATACATTTTGAAATAACAAAAAATCATAAATTACTATATCAGTACCACAGAATTCCATTATAATTTATAAAGCTTAGTATTTTTTGGTCTAAAAAATATTAAATTTAGAGCTCACTAATGTCTTACCTTACTGCTTGGAATTTAGCATGAAAAGAAAGAGTTTGCCATGCAGAGGCTGAGAAAACAACTAGGGGGATATTCTGAGCTTATGATTGATTATACACACATCATTGGCTGAAGTAGGTGTACATAAGCAGGTATTTTCAGAATTGAAGAGGTGGGTGGGGCCACCTTGGTTGATTCAATAAGTATATTAATATCTTAGAAAATAGAAAATATAGGAGGTTCTTATTTTATGTTCTAGCTTATAAATATTGGTAATTTGAGTATCTAAATCGTAAAAAGCTATAGACTTTGAACGTCACAAACATCTAATTTGAACCAATGCTGCATTCAACATACCACGTGACACTGATAAATCAATATTTAGGTGTGTATTTTTTAATATGTACTTTTAGATAAAGAAACTAATGTATAATACTAAAATTTGAATTATAATCTACAATTTGATACCAAACTTATTGATGTACATTCATGAAATAGTAATTCAAGAAAATTTTGCATGAGAGTCAACAAACGTGATGACATGGCCTTTGACCCATGTCAGTAGGGTTAATAAGAAATTTCAAGACGTACTGTTGGATATTTGCATGTGATTTTGGGATCAGTTGTCTGTTGTAACATGGTACTGGACATCTCAGTTTATTGTTCATGCTACTGCCACAGAGGTCCTCACTTTAATCAAATCAGGCACACTGGCACTATCTTATCAGAAAATTATAGAGCTCTTGATGGATGGACCAGCAGTGAATTGGAAGCTGTACAAGATGTTGGAGGAACAAATGGAAAAAGATTTCAAATGCAGGTTAATTGATACTGTTTCCCATGGCCTACATATTGTGCATGGGACACTGATGTTCGATGCAGTAGCTACAAAGTGGGAAGCTTCAAATTTTTTGTTCTGTTTGTATGTCTTTTCAAACATACTCCAGATAGACAGAAGGACTTCACAACACTTAAATAAAATAAAGTTTTTCCACTAATACACTGCAAACTTGGATGACTGGAAAATGTTTCCACCATTGAAAGAACTTTGTAAATATAGAAAAATATGCAAATGTATGTTGATACTGTTAAGAAAAAAAAAATTTTAGGTTTGTACAGTTCAGTCTTTTGATCATCATTTAAACCAGTGTGATAGACTAGCATATATTCTTACAAAATTAGAGCAAAAATTTGTAATTGACTAATTTAAAGTTAAATGAAAGACTTTTAAAATCAAAGGTATGCTATAATAAACATTTCATTAAGTTGAGAGAGTATGAAAACTGACTTTATTTTCAGTTCAAGCTGCCCCCCAGTGGCACATCAGTATTTCTGTTGACTTATATTGCTAGAAACCTGGTTTCAATTCAATACCCTTGGTAGGCAGAACATAGATACCCCTTTGTGTTTAATTACAAACAACTGTTCAAGTTTGGATGTTTATTAGTTTAATACTAAGTTGTATGTTTGTTAAAGACATTACTTGTAAAGAACTAAGATACATCTTCTGATTAAATGTTTTAAACATAAAATTTATATTTATTTGTTAGTTACTAAGCTGTTCATTTTCCCTTGAAATTGATATTACCAAATCAGTAAGGGCTCTGGTAATATGAGGTAGAGAATGATTATAATGAATTATATTTCAGTTTGCTCAGTTTATAAGGATAATTATTTTGATACTATTTTTTTGGCTGTTTTGGAAATAGGTGTACTTTTCCTTTTTAATTCATATAGAATTTTGATAATTTTTTTTCCCAATGCTCAGAAACAGAGGGTAATGAAAAGGTTGCTCATTTCATTAATATTTTTAATTCCCACCTTTATTATGATTTTTTTGAAGTCATGTTTCTGTGTCACTAACTGTTCCTTTTTCTGTTACAATAATTGATTGGGATGTCATTTATTTTGCAAGTAATCCTGTTGTGATGGAATTTTGTGTTGAGTTAGTAGCAGGTTGCAACAAAATTTAATTTGAGACAGTGTCCTGGGCAGGAGATTTCTTGAACTAATAAAGTTCTTATTACCATGGCTACTTTGTACCTTTATAAGACTGTCAAGAAAGATTTATTATCATAATACAGAGAAATGATGGTGTGTGTGTGTATTGTAAATGTCTAGGCCATTGTTATAAAACACAGAACAAAAGAGTGTGATACTGTTGTGTTTACTCCTTTCAGTTAATGATGTGATACATTCTGCTATGCACATGCTTTGTATACAGCCTACTGTGCAGCAATTTGTTTGTTTTTAATGCCTACATATTTTCAATATTGTGCAGACTCTGAAAAGATGGCTCAGTTTGCCATGGATGAAAAGCAAATACGTGAGGAGAATATTCGACTTCAGAGAAAATTACAAATGGAGACGGAACGTCGAGAAGCTCTTTGTCGTCATTTGTCAGAAAGTGAATCTAGTCTGGAAATGGATGAAGAAAGGTGAGACTTTCTTATCTGAATCAGTATCAGTGATGAATATTAACCCTTTCTCTGTGGCTGGGACATGTATTTCCTTGTGCTCTGGGAAATATATGTCCCAGCCTCAGTGAATATGGTCATAGGAAATATCGTGGTTAGTTTTTTTAAGTACATGTTTTGATAAAGTCACATTTTTTTATCATAAAATGTTTTTAAACAAAAAATAGTAGAAAATGTTTTAATTAAATAAAAATTGTGACTTACTCCAATAGAAAGAATATGTTGTTAACAGAATTTCAGTATTATGTCTTCTTTCTAGATTAATAAAAAAAGTACCAATGATAATTCAGATTTCCTTTTGCAACTGTGATTTATATTTAATTCAAAATATATGTCTACATACGTTTTTATTGTTCAATTATATGAAAACAAGATACCATTACTTTTGGAATTTCTTGCCATATTCATTCTGTTGATATTGTTGCAAAGTGTGGTCAGCTAACAATAATACTACCAGCAAATGTTATACACAATAAAGAAGTTTAGAAAAAAAAAATTCACCATATAATTGAAAGTTAAGAAAGGTTTTCAAATTTAATAAATAATATGCACACTAGTGATTCATAAAAAAAAAAAAGTTTATAAACTTCTGTACCATTCTATTATGGCTCAGTTATACACTTCTAATCTTTTTTTTTTTAGATTTGCCAATATTCTTGCAGTTTTAAGAAGGTTTCTTGAACATTTTTGAATAAATTTAGGCCCGTAATGAAATAACTTGCAAAGTTTTTCCTTTTATATTATGAAGCCCAATTTCAGTATTAAATTTTGATACACAGATTAAAATGAGATGATTACAGAACTTGGTCAGAATGATTTATGTACATGTTGAAAGTTTGTTATAGTGGTATACCAGATTCCATAAGCTTCTTCAGCAATATTCTATTAAGTCCTGAATGTTACTTTGGTTTTTCTGGAATGAGTGGCTTAAGTATTTCTGTTACATTCCTATACAATACCTTTTGTTTTCTCTATACACATCAGAACAATCTCAATGATTTCAATGTTACACGTGCTATGATTCAAAGCAGTGACACACCTAAGACGGATAAGGAACTAAAATTAGCTGTTTAACTTCAATATATTAACTGTCATGATATAAAATACTGTTTAGAGTAGATATTATTGATTAATTTATTTTGTGAGTTAATATTTCATGATTGTTTAGTTTTCTTTATAATAGAAAGTTAAAAGCAGATGATTGTTGGAAGTTGTGTTTATAATTCATTGATGTTGAGACTATCAAACGTCGCGTGTGATACATTGAAGTCAAGAATACAGAAATTTCTAAAAGGCGGGCAGACGATTAAGTGATAAACATATAAATTGTGTGAGATGAGCAGAAACAGCAAACTGACAGTAGCAGAAGAGAGTAAAGTCATGGTGAAGGAAAAGTTTTGTATGAAGTTAACTGCTGTAGAAGTGATAGGACCAACATTTAATATGTTAAGAGTAAGACTAACAGTAGAAAAGGAGATAAGAAGAAGAATTTATTCCGTCAAAGCATGCTGAGTGCAATTTGACGAAAAGTACAGAGGATATTTTGAAGAAAGAAGGTCAAATGAGTACTGGAAGAGCAGTATACTGGTGCGATAGAAATAGAGAAATGTAGTTTGGCTTGTTAACTGAAATTCTAAAGCAATTGAATAGGCCTAAGTGGAATTTTGGCAAGAAGAAGAGAACTATATATAGTGTTTATGATATGCCTATAATCTCTGTAGTGTGAAAAATTTATTGTACATATGTTTAACTAGTTCAAATATATATACATACACACACATTATTTAGAAAATAAGTAGAGTGCATGCTGATTATTCATTTATTGTTGAATTTATCACCAACAAGTCACAGACATCTACTGTAGAAAAATTCTTAGCCCAACAACAACACAGCATATATTTATACTTTTAAGAAATATATGTAAAAGCCTTTAATTGACATATTCCTAATATAACTTAGTTTCTGACACTAACTTTATGTAAACTTATTAATATAACTGTACCCCTGGCAGTAAGCTTTGGAGCTTTATAGTGCTAGTTTGGGGTTCAGTCTTTGTGGCAGATATCAGTGCATATATCCCGTTTTGAGCTTTCAAATAAAACACATTTATTTTTATTTTTTTATAGGTTTTGCTTTTATTACTTGTCTCTTTCGACCTAATTTTTAAGTTTTTTATGCTTATTTTCCACATTTTCTTACCTCAAATATAATTGCTTTATGTTAGTAATAATTTTGTGATGATATTACCTATGCCTGTTTGCCTCTGTTTTGGGATTGTATTAACTGAATGCTTACTTGCCTCTGCCGGAAGAAAATACAGACAAAATTAAGTATATTTCCCGGTTAAAATTAAAAAAGAGTAAAATAGAGCTTGAAAGTTTTTTAGACACTGTTGGCAAATGTTACCAGTTACTTTGGAAGTAACTCTCAAAAATTCAGCCACAGTGAAAGAACAAAGATTAATAAGTTGCTTGCTTCCAGTGGATGTAACTAGTCAACTGATAGAAATATCCAGGAAGTATTGTATTTTCAATTCCATGGTTTTTAACCCTAAAATTGGGAATTGATCATACAGAAATTTCAGAAGAAAGATTTGTGGATTGTTACTACTGTCAACTAATTATATACATGCAATACATGCATTTTAGTCATTCATATTGCAAGGTTCTAAGTACAAAATTGTGATTAACAAGATTGTTTTGTGATTCCCATTTGAGCTGCATGGCATACTCAGGCTAAGTATCAGGAAGTGGAAATAGTGAGGCCATAACTAGAGCTTAATTGATTTGTTGCCAAGGCAATTAGCATATCTAGTTGGCTGTATTTACATCATCTGATCTATGCATTGCATTTTTTCTGGCAGTGTGGTTAGAAATATTTTAACCAAGTGGTTGTTTACTGGAGGTAATCATAAAATAGAAATCACATAAACTGAAAATGTTTTTATCCCCTCAACAGATATGTTAGGCCTT